CCAACTGCTCGCATTTGTATAGCACCTTGAACTTCATAAAATGTCTCACAGTGATTCACAACAGCACTATCAGAAAGAATCTGAACCTCAACCAGAGTTACAGGAACAGACAAGCAAAAGCTTTGTCAACAAGATGGGCTGCGGGGAGGACAGAGAGTGGAAGTGAGGGCAATTTCCAGAGTTTGTGGTCAGGCCAACTGAAGTCAGAAGTCACACAACACCAGGTTATAGTGCAACGGGTTTGCTTAAAATCACAAGCTTTTGGAGCGCTGTTCCTTTAGCAGGTGAAGTCAAGATGCACGGACGTGTGGTCGGGAACTCTACTCATGCAGTCTCGATCGGCCCGAGATAGGATCCAGGGAGAGGGATGAAGCCAATGTTTGGAGAGTAGATACTAAAGAAAAATCGAAAGAACTGCAGATGCTGTGAATCAGGAACAAAAACAAAGTTGCTCAAAAGCTCGACTCTGGCAGCATCAGTGAAGGAAAAAACAGAGTTAACGTTTCGGGTCAGAAACGAGGAAGGCTCACCAGACCTGAAACGTTAACTGTTTTTTCCTTCACAGATGCTGCCAGACCTGCTGAGCTTTTCCAGCAACTTCTGTTTTTGTGCCTGGAGAGTAGAGTTTGTGCTCCGGATGGAAGACGATGGCTTCTGTCATCTCAGCACTAATTGGAGGAAATTTCTGCTCATTCGGTCTGAGACAAATAGACAATGGAGAAGTGGAAGAAGAGGTAGAACTAGGTACCATCAATATACACAAAAGATCTTGGACAATGTTGTCAGGGGCAGCATGTAGGCAAGGATAGATATAGACCTTGTGGGCGCAGGAAGAGAAGCTTTGGACACTCCAGGTTTGATTCAGTTTCTTTTTATTCATTCAGTGGATGTGGGCCTAGCATCTCTTGCCCATCCTTCGTTGCCCTTGAGAAGGTGGTGGTGAGCTGCCTTCTTGAACCACTGCAGTCCATATGTTATCAGTAGACCCAAAATGCACTCAGAGAGAATTGCAGGATTTGACCCAGCGACACTGAGGGAACAGCGATATATTTCCATGTCAGGATGGTGAGTGGCTCGAAGGGGAACTTGCAGGTGGTGGTCTTCCCATGTATCTGCTGCCCTCGTCCTTCTAGATAGAAGCAGTCATGGGTTTGGAAAGTGTTGTCTAAGAAGCCTTGGCAAACTTTGGCAGTGCTTCTTATAAATTGTACCTACTACTGCTGCTGAGCGTTGGTGGTGGAGGGTGTGTGAGTTTCTATGTGGTATCAAACCAATCGTTCTGGTTGATGTCAAGTTTCAAGCTGTTGTTATGGGAGCTGCACCCATCCAGGCATTAGAGCCAAGCAACTGGAGTGCCTTTGAACTGGACAAAAATAAACAGACTTAGCAGTATTCCTACATCAGTTTCTGTAACAAAAGCAGCATATTCCTGCAAATAGACCAAGTGCTGATCCAAGACACTGTTCCCCTTATCGTCACCAAAGGAAATCTCCTGACCTTGATCTTTGAAAAGGTTTACAGCTGGAAGTGCTGAATGAACTTACATTCTGCCTAATGCACCAACCTTCAGGAATGGCTGGGACTCCCACAGATGACTCTCTGCTTCCCACCCTTCCCAGTAACACAGCGAGGGGAACAACAGGAACAGCTCACACACCAGTGCTTGTGGGAGAAGCCCCTCAATCTTTCACGTCCTCAAGGTTTCTTTGGTGCATGAATACCAAAGAGAAGCTGTCCTTCTGGTGCAACAGCAGACGGGGATAGCAGGAACTACCAATGCTGGAGTCAGATTTAACACGGTGTGCAGCTGGAGGAACACAGCAGGCCAGGCAGCATCAGAGGAGCAGGAAAGTTGACGTTTCGGGTTTACACCCTTGATCAGGACTCAGTGCTGATGCCGACTACATCACTTCCACTAACGCTGCTGACCACATTGCTCCTTCTGCTTCCGCCCACACGACCATCCCCATACGCACACCCACTCCTGAGACAGTCTCCACCCCTACTCCCAGCTCCAGCTCTCCACCCGGCCCCAACCCCAGCCCCAAGCCCTGTTGGGTATTCACCGTCCCCTCCAGACCTCCCCCTCACTGAGGGCAAGTGCTCAGTCTTTAGCAAGGGGCTCACCTTCATTTCCCCTGCGCCCACACATTAACGAATTCTGTACATGCCTAGATGTCAAACTCTTCTTCTGCTGCCTCTGCGCCTATTTCCTTACCCGGGAGTCTAACCCACCCTCTGCAGCCCCCTTCTCCCGCCTCCAACACACCCCCTTCTCCTGGGCACCACTCCAAGGCCTCCTACCCTCCCGCGACCTCTTCATTTCCAGCTGCCTTCACGACATCAATCACCTCAACCTCTCCACCCGTCTCACCCACTCCAACCTCTCCCCCACAGAATGTGCAGCCCTCCGCTCCAACCCCAGCCTCACTATCAAACTAGCTGATAAGGCGGGGGGGGGAGAGAGGTTGCAGTGGTGGCATGCTACGTTGCTGTAGTTCTCCGCTCCAGGAGGAAATAACATCAAAAGACAATCTGGAGAGACAGTGCAGCAGCCAGGAGAGATTCCCGGCCTGCTAAACCTGCACAGACCCCAGCAACAACTGCTGAAAGCTAAACCTAAAATTTCTGCTTCTGCATGTGGGAGCTTGACCCCACCCATTCAGGCTGCTTCTATTGTTCCAGCTTTAACTGAAAACACCCAAGGATTCACAAGCTGTTACTTCTCATAGACTGCTTGGCACCTGTCTCCCAATCTTTATGTAATAAAAAACCAGGACAGAACATACCTCTGAGAGCTACAGCATCATCACAAGTATCAGATGTCCATGTTGGCAACACATACAAAGAAGAACACAAGATCTCCAGAGCTGTGCTTAGAGGACCAGGGCATGTATAGGCTACCAGAACGTGGAATTACTTTGCAGAAAATAGGAGTTGAAGCAGACTCTGCAACTCCCGTTTGAAGATAGCTGCTTACCTGGAAAGAAGGAATCTTCACTGACTGAACGAGGCAATAGGATTGGAGAAAGGCATTCAGAGAGATAAACAAACCAGTACAAATGTGTTGGGCCAAATAGTCACCTGCTCTGTGATGTTCTGCAGCTGATTCTTGATTCTCTTCGGGAGCAGCTAACCCAGGGTCGTCAGCGTGAAACTGAGCTAGTCAGAGGCCATAAGCAGGAATGCAGATCAAAGCCTGATAAACCCTCTGTGCAGCACATTCCTCAAGGACTCTGAGAAGCTCAACGCAATGTAGTCATCAGTGAAATCGCTAAATATTTCACATGCATTACCTCAAAGTATGTATCCCTAGCATATTCACATAAACGTGTCAGAAATAGGGCATCAAAGAAATTTGGTCCATAAAGCTTATTTGCCCATCAAATTCAATCATTCGCCCCAACTTCAGTATTTGTTCCTATCTCACTGCTTCTATCCCTTCATCTCCTCGCAGACCAAAATTCTGTCCATGCCAATCTTAAATATATTCAATAAAGTGGCATTCACAAAATTCCAAGGGAAAATATTAAAAAGGTGCACAACCCTTTGGCTGAAGAAATTTCTCCTCATCAGTCCTAAATAATCACCCTGTGACTGTGTTCCCATGTTTTAGATTCCCCTGGCTGGGGGAAACTACCTCTCAGTGTCTATCCTGCTGAGCTCCTTCTGAATCTTGTATGAGATCACTTCCCATTCTTCTAAACTTCAGAGCATGTAGACCCAGTTTACTCAACCTTTTATTATAAGACAAGCCCCTCATTCCAGAGATCAATCTAGCGAACCTTTGCTATCTATCCTGAAGTGTATCCCTCCTTAAATACAAAAGCCAAAACTGTACAAAGTATTCCATTCACCATCCCACCAAAGTCCTGAATAATTGCAGTCAGCCTCCTTCACTCTGATACTCCAAATAAAGTTCAACATGTCTTTTACCTGGCTAATTACTTGCTGCATCTGCAAGCTAACTTTATGCATGCAGCCCCAAGTGCCTCTGAACATCAACATTTATAGGTTTCATATCTTTAAAACAAGAACTTTTTTTTCCCAATTCTGACATCAGTGAATAACTTCACACTTCCCCACATGATAATGTGACTGCTACCTTGTTGCTCACTCACTTAAACTGCTTCAATCCTTTTGCAGTTTCTTTGTGTCCTGTTCCCAGGTTACATTCGCACCTCGCCTTCACATTGGATGGATACTAAATTTGGACTAAGAAAAGTTTTGCCAGCCCAAGTGAACATGGCCTGTATTATCCCTTACTTACAGGTACCACAAAGTACATCTCCACGGTGGCTCAGTGCTTAGCGCTGCTGCCTCACACAGTGCCAGGGACCCGGGTTTGATTCCACCCTCGGGCGACTGTCTGTGTGGAGTTTGCACATTCTCCCCGTGTCTGCGTGGGTTTCCTCCGGTTTCCTCCCACAATCCAAAGATGTGCAGGTTAGGTGGATTGGCCCGTAGTATTCAGAGATGTGTAGATTAGGTGGGGGATGGGTCTGGGTGGGATGCTCTGAGGGTCGGTATAAACTTGTTGGGCCAAGGGGCCTGTTTCCACATTGTAGGGATTCTAGGATTCTATAACCTTTTTACAACTACCTACTGCCATCCCAAAACTTCCACCACGAAAGTAAATACTTCCTCTTGGCTCCTATGTGTGCCCGGAACACCCAGAATGAACCAATCCCCCTCATCCTTCTGGTAATGGCCACACTCCTCATCAAGCTGAATTCTGAATGGAACAGTTCTGTTTTGCAGAAACACAAAGGGGAGACAGTGAAAGTCATTGTTTTGTTTCAAATGCAGGGCTACATTCACACGCAAGTGAGCCCATTTGGTGATCAGACCTTTAGTTTGTGAACCTGACTCTGTTTACCCAGGTTTAGACTGGCCAAGTGCCATGACCAGAAGAGGTCAGCTTCTGGCACAAGTCACAAGAATTTTAATGAGCCAGCTCCTCCTCTGAATGTAAATCAAGCAATGAAAAATCATCTGACCTGTAAAAGATTGGAGACTGACGGTCAGTAGATCTCTGCCATCTCAGTGCACCCTCTCAATACCCTGAAAAACAAAGAAAGACAGAGACTCTCATTTAATATCCCAAGGTCATGACAGGATTGCATCAAAATTAAGCATTTCTGCAGTATATTCACTGCTGTGATATTGATAATTCATCAGCTAATTTGCACACTGCAAGATCTGATGGTTAACAGCAAGGTAATAACCAAGGTCTAACTGTTTTATTGATATCAGTTCAGGGATAGATGACTGTTCTGGGGATCTTTTGGGTACAAAAGGAGCACAGCCTTGATTTAACATCTTTTCTTATTAACAGTGCCTCAGCCACTGCAGCACCCACTGCACATTGCACTAGAACGTCAGCCTAGATTCTGTGCTCCAGTCTGCAAAGTTGATCTCAAGACAAGAAATGCCCTCACTCAGAGGTCAGCTCTCGCTGAGACATGGACGACATCGGAGACAGGTCTTCTGGCTGACGAGGAACATTAATGGGTTGACAATCTGAGTGAAAGCACACATTTCACTAATTCCATTATGAGTTAACACCAAATGAAAGCTTATCAAGATGAGTGAATGCTAGTTATTGGACAGCACTGCACTCTTTGCTGTTGATGACAGCGCGAGATTAAGTTTAACTGGAGTCAAAAATTCACAGAAAAATTAAAACCATTACTGCAATCAAAAACCTTTGATGCACTTTCTATCTGAAGTTTCATGACTGTCGTTTCTGTTCTGAATAATTAATAGAAAAGAAAATGTTTGTGTCTTTCTGGCTGACCTTTCAAAGCTTTGCGCATCCCTTGACAACAAAAAAAACTCTGGACAGAGCAGTATGGTTGTTCAGCGCTATCTTCAAAATGTTATTAAACAGATCCCATGAGTCAAGTTAGAACATTCAAAAGAAAACAAATGCTTTTCATATCATCAGACAGTGGGAGGAAAATGCAAGCGTATTTATAAACAGCAAGTCATTATAAATACTCTGTGGTTTCATTATTATTCTTTTCATTTGAAACCAACAGTGTGTTGGCACTACATCCACTCTCTCTATCACCGACGCTCAGTAGCAGCAGTGTGCACTATCTACAGGATGCACTGCAGAAACTCACCAAAAATCCTCAGACAGCACCTTCCAAGCCCACGACCGCTTCCACCTAGAAGGACAAGGGCAGCAGATACAATGGAACGCCATCACCTGCAAGTTCCCCTCCAAGCCACTCACCATCCAGACTTAGAAATATATCGCTGTTCCTTCACTATCGCAGGGTCAAAAGCCTAGAATTCCCTCCCTCATGGCAGTGTGGGTCAACGCACAGCATATGGACAAGTTCAAGACAGCAGCTCACCACCAACTTCTTAAGGGCAGCTAGAGAGAGACAATACATGCTGGCCAGCCAGCTAGTGACACCCACCTCCCACAAATCAAAAAATAAAACAAATAGTCCACAGTCGTATTGACCAGTTTGCCTGGTTGGAGGATGACATAATAAGGGTTGGTACAATAAAGATTTCTGGGTAAACCACACTGCCATGGTTCACCCAGTTTATCCAGTGTCTGGTGACATAAGCCTCGCTCTATGCCAGCAATAAATGACAATACGACTGGTATGAATAGGAGAGTAAATTCGACCGGGGTCGCTGCATCAAATGGCTTTCCAGGGACTCCTGCTGGATATGTGCATGCGACATGGAATCAGGGTGGTACTGAACATGACCATAAAATCATTCCATGTCAAACAGCCAGATCACACTCTGTCTCGGGTCACACATGGAAAGATGACCACTTAGGAAAGGGAAGCACTACCTTCAAGTGATACACTCTCTACTTTCCTACTTGGGAATCTTGGATTCTTGTTAAATTGCTTATGAATGTATGGCCATTATTTTATTCAATAATTAATATGCTGTCTCCATCATTTAAGTTTCCCTCAATCGATCCTCGAAAAGTCCAAATCCAGTGTGCTCCACCAACGTTTCCAGCCTCCTACAATCTCATCATGTCCAACACTGACCAATTCTTCCCCATAAACTCAAACCAGCAGCACTTGCACCTCCCTCAGTTTCCTCACCTTCCAACTTCAGGACTTCAAATCCCAAAACACACTTTGGCCAAACTGAGACTTCTTTATTCACCTCATCTTCAAGGTCTTTTGAATGCCAACTTGGACGTTTCACCTAGGCTTCCCAAAAATGAAAAGTCACTCCCGCACCCAGACACAAAATCCTCATGAAGTTTCAGATTGGCTCTGGCAGATTGTCAGCAAATGAGGAATCACAGGGGAAATAGGACTGAATGAGAGTTGGTTTGGGATCGAGTGCCAGAGCAACCGTAGGAAACACTGTTTGGTCTCTTGCAACTAGGTCCGCCTCTTAGCGGTTATAAGGATTCAGCTAAAGTTCAGGTAGATCCACAGGGACATCTTGAAGGTTCTATTATTGCATCAGAGCTAACAGCCTGTCATCTTGTGTCAAAAATTACTGCAATGAAATTTGGCTTAACCTTTTAAGGTTACACTTTCATTGAAACTTTACAGTTGATGCTTAAGAGTATTCGTCCAGAATTCGGAGCCCACCCTCATTTTTGAATTGAAGGAGAGTGAGATCCCTATTCCAGTGAAGAGCACCCCACTTTGCTCTGAAAACCATTGAACCTTAACTCTACATTTGTGTAAATTAAGTCTTGTTGTGGATCTGACTATCGTCGCGCTGAGATAAACCTGGATGCACTCTTAACACAATGGTACCAAGATTGAAATGTATTACTCTTTGTCAGATTTCAAATCAGTCCTGAGAGGAGGCATGGATGCAATGAGCTAAGGCGGGCCACTTACCTCTTAGAACATCCACGAACATCACCTGTGTGACATGATCAGAAAAAGGGATGAATAGTTGGTATGCGACTATTGAGAGACACACAGGATAGAAGTATCATGCTTCAGACAGAACTAAGTGACCTTTGACTCGTGCGCTGAAATGTTACATGGAGGTAGTGGCCCGGAGCACAGGTTAAAATCGGTGGATGACTTTTACACCAATTGGTCAGGCGGTGGTGACTGCTGAGACTATGGCGGTCCCCAGTGAAGAAATGGCATGGAATTGGATTTAAAGGTAAACCCTAATCTTTTTGAGCCCATTTGCCAGGCCCTGATAAGGAGGTTCGGAGTTGAGAAGGGTAGGGGTGTGCAAACACAAGACGGGGGAAGAGAACTTTCTGGGGGCTCCATTGGGCACAGAGTGGCCGTTCAAGAGGCAACCAATACTACCAGCTCCCAATTCACAACAACAATGCCAGCTCGCAGACTTGGGGCAAATGGCACTGTTCCCCCAACTCCCATCCCACTCGTGGAAAAACACTAGTGGTGGCAGATTTAGGCCTGTTTGTGGTCAGTGCGAGCGGGTCATCAGGCACTTTCCCCCTCAGATGTCAAATACCAATGGCGGCAGATAGGTAATGGACATGGCACCAGCATCATTGCACCTCCTGCCTGGTGCCCATTCCCGGGGTGGAGCATTATAGAATCCCGACAATATGGAAGCTGGCCAAAGAGAGAGAAAGATAGTTGGACAGACAAAGGAGTTGCTAACATCGGTTGTTTACTCATCCCATCGTTTATTCCCTACCCCACCCACCTCTCCATTTTCTGCATATAAACTGACGTTTTCCCAGCCACCATCAGCTCTGAGGAAGGGTGACCGGACCCAAAACATTAACTCTGTTTTTTCCTTCACAGGTGCTGCCAGACCTGCTGAGCTTTTCCAGCAACTTTGTTTTTGTTTAAAATTCTGCTTATGGTACCAAATCATCTCTGCCACTGGGATCACGTTTCACATCTCAGTCGGTTGTACGCTCATTGGTAGAGATTGAGTTTAATGATCGGTGAAGAACTGGATGAACGTTTCATTATTTAAAGAATTAATGAGAGGTGAGCTGAACCAGATGGATCTTGTGTTTTATTTCACTGGCTCTCTCTATATTCCTATAACACTGCGCTGTCCACTCGCAGTACTACAGAAGACAGCACCAATTCCTAACCATCATCATGGGAGGTCTATGGTATAGGATCGCTGCTTCAAAAGGTTAGGAAAACAAGTAACAAGATACAAAATGATAATAGTCTTGACTCAATTATTTAGCTTGGTGATGGGAGGATGTTTGATGTGCTGCTGAAACAGTCCAGTGGAATACGAGGATAACAGCTTGAATGTAAAGGTGGTTTCCTGTCAGTCTCATTCCTTTCCCAGCATGCATCTTACAATTACCAGGAGCAGGGCATCTCCATGCCAACACGGTCAACTGGTGAGGTGCTTAAATAGGGTTTGAAATGGCATTCTCACTCCCTACATCTTCACACCAGCTTGGCAAAGTGCCTCCAGTTGAAGCTCACTGTCTTAAGTTTGAGCTGGCAAGATCATCTCCAAAATAAATGTGTACACTGAGCATTATTTAATGAAGGAACTGTGGGGCAATTGTGACTGACAAAGAGGCTGCTTCAGTAAAACAAATGTGATAAGTTTACACCGCTCCTTGTATACTGTTGTGAAATCCCATTTAAAAATTCCCTGCAATGAATTTCAGACTGACTGAGGCCCTGGATAACATTAGGATATTGTCAATGCTGGGATTGAAACGACATCCCAGTTGGCTTTCCATAACTAGCTGCCCAGAATTCTCCTCATTTCCCTTGCATTTCTTGATTGACCAAAGTGTGAGACAGAGCCAGTGTAATATGGATCTGGGACCACATATTGTGATATATGAGCATTGATCTACTGAGGTTAACAGCATAGTAGCCATCTTAGTATGTTTGATCATTTTAATTCCTTTTCATCCTGGTCTGAGATTTTACTGAAGAACATCCATCATCTCTTTAAAGTGAATTTTATAGTCATAGAATTAACTGATCAAATTACAGATACTTTTTAAATCACCTTGTTCAAACATGATGATATAACACACCTCTGGAGCAGATGGGACTTGAACCCAGGTCTTTTGGCCCAGAGGAAGGAACACAACCACTGCACCACAACAGCCCGACTCCTCA